GGAGCGGCATGGGGACGACGGGGCCCGGGGCTGCGGGTCGGGAGTGAGGAGCACCGGGAGGCCAGACGCGGGGGGGTGGGACTGCGGGTCAGGAGTGCGGGTCACCGGTGAGGCAGTGTGTAGTTGTGTGTTGTGCACCGGGCTGTGTCACCCTCGTCTCCCGCACCAGCTGCAGATGCCAGGCCTGCTCTGCGTTGTGTAGCCAGGCGGGCTGCGCCTTCCCCCCAGCAGCTCGCGGGGTGCGCGGTTGTGCCGCCGGGAGCTGGGGAGCCTCTAGCAGAGAGTGGCCGCGCGGGTCGGCCTTCCCCCACCCAGTTGTCTGTCACGGTGTGCAGTTGTGTGACTTGTCCGTGGGGTTCTGCCGAGTTGTGCAGCGTTGTGTAGTTGTGTAGCCATGTGTAGCTTTGTACTTGTGCAGTGTGCAGGCCATGTTGTGAGGAGCAGAGTAGTGTGTAGCTGTGTGTTGTGCAGCTGGGCCACCTGGTTGCTTTGAGGTGTGTAGTGTTGTGTAGCTGTGCGATGTTGGGTACCTTTGCGTGTAGCTGTGTGCAGCATACCCCCGTGTGGTTGTGGTGAGTTGTGTAGCTGTGTATTCTGCAGGGCCACCTGATTGTGGTGACTTGTGCTGTGCTGTGTCGTTGTGTATGTGCGGGCTGGGGGAGGGGCAGCCCATGCAGCTCTAGGGAGGCGTGTGCTGTTGTGTGACTGCGCATAGCTGTGTGTTGTGTACCAGTGCGTGGAGGCACGCACACACACAAGCACCCTCCTCAGCCCCGCACCCCTCCTGCGGCACATGCAGGACCCCGCGTCCGGGACCTGCCCTGGCGCCCCCAGACCCAGCCGCAGCCCGTTACACTGGGGTGCCCTCTGCAAACCTGGGCCTGGCCACGCAGCCTTTTCACCCTGTTGTTACTGACATCCGTGTTCCCATCAGGTCAGTGTCACTGTGCTGCCGGGCCCGTCCTCCTGCCAGGCCCGGGGGCAAATGTAGGGGTTGAGCACCAAGGAGCGGAAAAAAGTGTGGGTGTCAGCATAAAGTCTGCAGCAAAAGAGAAATTGTGTTGGGTTGGCGGCTTGGGGTGACACCCTTCTGCTTGCCCCCCATCCCAGGGGCGTCCGACTCCCCCCACACCCCGATTTCCCCACTGCACCGTGCTGCCCCCTCCCCCCGTGTACCCCTGCTGCCCCATCCCCTCATCCCAGCTGCGCCCCACAAGAAGCGGGGCGGCCAGAAATGGGGCCTGGATGCTTGGCTCCTCCGCTTCTCTAGGGGGGAGGAAGAGAGAGCAGGTGCGGGGGGAGCGCGGACACCTGGGCTCTGTGGCCAGGCAAGGGCAGTGGGGTCCAGTGGTTAGAGCAGGCTGCGACATGCTCTCTGCCTCCTGCCCCCGGGATGTGGTTACGGGCTGGATCTTGGGGCGGTACCGGCGTGAGGACATCACCGTCCTCATGACCACCAAAGGTGGGGGCTGGGCTGGGGGGGAGGGGCTCCATGAGTGGGGGAGAGATCTGGAGCTAGCAGAGCCTGGGGTTGGATAGGGGAAATGTTGACTGGAAGCAGGACTGGAGGACTTGGGGGGGCGGGGTTCAGGGCAG